GGAGGGTGGGGGGGGGGGGAGGTACTCACAGTCGTGCATGCCATTGTCGTTAGACCATTGACCTCGCATCCCTACAAAGCCGGGACGGAGCACGCCGGATTTTCACCGGACCAGGGGGGTGGGGAGTACAAGCAGGTTATGGAGGATAAACCGAGAGTGGTGGCGAACTACGATAAAAAGTCCTTCTAACGTTACTCTCCTCGCGAGCATGTCTCACAAGGGAAAAAAAAAAAAAACTAGAATCCCTCGGTGACGACGACTTCGTCCGCTGAGATGGGCTTGCGCAGCCGCAACGACAGCTCCACGTTCCCGCCCGCCTCCCTCCTCCCTTTGGTCCAGGATAGGCGTGGACAACGTCAGCTCGCACGTGGTCAGAAGCGGCTGCAGCGGGGCCAGGCACTTGCCGATCAAATTTCCCGCCACTTTTTCGCACATCCAAAAGCGCCCAGTCGAATGCATGCGAAGGGCGGGGGGGGGGGGGGGGGGAGACGTTAACATGTTGTTATAAGTCTGTTGAAATTTCTGTTGTGTTCATGTATTTTTTGTACGACTTTACAAATTCATCAGCTTCGTCTCCCATTATCTCTTTAACTTTTTCATTACAGCAGCACTCATGATTTTACTGTAAAAACAGTTTTGGGTGTGTTTCTTTTTTCCCAGCGGGAGGGGGGGCGTCGAACTGTCTTCGATGAGCGACTCCAGTTGGGTGTTTTGAGGTGTCACGTGTTCCATCGAGAGCGTTCTTGTCGTTAGCATCGGCGGCGATAATCTTGCTCACGCACTCCCCCAACGCACTTCCACACCTCACCTCACCGCAACCCAACTACACGACGATGGTCTATCATGAGACGCGTGCATATACCGTACCACCAAAAACAAGCAACGCTGCAGAATCCACATCCCAGACGCTTACAATCGACACAAGCGAGAGCTCCGGCGGGGCTGCATCCGGACAAAAAAAGTAGCACGGCGAAACTCCATTCCCGTTTCGTGAAACCGCCCCCGCTCTGGCCAGCCTTGGGGCTTAACGCGCCTTCTTCACCTAACGATGTTCTTTTCGTGGAGTATGCTGTAGTATCTCGATCTTACCCGAACATGTGCTTGTTGTGAAAGATCTCCATCTAAAAGATATATATCGATCTAAAAGATCTCGATCTTACCTGAACATGTGCTTGTTGTGAAAGATATCGATCTAAAAGATATATACTTCGAAGTGTCGATCTAAAAGATCTCTATCTTAGCTGAACATGTTCTTGTGAAAGATATCGATCGTAAAGATCTCCATCTTACCTGACGATGTTCTTCTTGTGGAAGATCTCGAGGCCAGCCCGCCGGTTCTGGAAGGCCATCTGGCTCGACCTCGCCCTCTTCACGTAGGAGGACGTCTTGTAGTCCACGTCCACAGAGTCAGCGTCGGCCCGGTAGCTCTGCGTGAACCCTTTTCCTGCGGTCAGGAAGAGGTACCGTACAGAGGTACATTGCAGAGGCACATTACAGGGGTACAATACAAAGGAACACTGGTAAAAACAGAAAAATATGCTCGGTACAACAAGAAGTTCAGCACAAAATATGTACACGAGAAGCATTAGAGCAGGGGATGAGAGGTTGATAATACATGTTGGTATACATGGATAGAGGGACAACACGAACAAAAGACAAATACGATGGGGTCAGCGCGGTACAATTGCGCAAACTCTTTCCCCAGAAACAGCAGTAGTGCCGGTACAGCGGCTTTCGGGGAAGTGATTCTGGGGTGTGGAGGAACAGCAAACAGAGAAGGTATTGCGCGTTAACGCCGAGAGGTACCGACTGGCACCCAGAACAGATGAGTCGAAACCAGATACATAACAATCACAAGAAAAATACGCCGTTTTCAGTGGCCAGGAGGACACACTAAAACTCTACGTTTGATGGCAGACAAGCAACGCACAGCCGTAGAAACAGGCAGCCACGATCTCTCGTGGCTCTTCATCACTGGAAAAGCATGCGCCGATAAAAGCAGACAGGGCAAATGCACGCGGGGGGTGGGTGTACTCATAGTCGTGCAAGCCGTAGTCGTTGACCATTGACCTCGCAATGCACGCGGGCGGGGGGGGCATATAAAAAAACACTCCCGGAAAAAAAAAGCCGTAAAAAAAGAGAAGGCTATCGTGCAGCCAGCGTCACCATCGTCATCGTCATACCTATCTTCTCGTCCTTGGAATACCCCAGATCGAACTTGATCCAGAAGGAGCCACGGTTATCCGTCTTCTCCGTCAGGCCGTGAACACGATAGATCTCCAGCTCCACTTGGTCCATGGCCACCTGTGCGCAGCAGCAGCACCCGGTAGCACACCATGAAACCACGCAAGTTTTCTTGAGGCGAGGGGAAGTCAAAGAATGCGCTACGCTACGTGCACACGATAGTAGATCTCCATCATGTTTACGGCATAGTAGATCTCCGTCATGTTCACGTCAACAGTGCGAGGCTTGAGCCCTTCATGGAACACACGCAGCAAGAAGATTTCCAGAGGAAAATAGGCTCACACTCTTAGCCAACACGTGACCATCACCCGTGATCAAAATTCCTCCCAGTAATGCTCTTGACAAGAGAATAACATCGAATTACTCTGTGCAATACACAAGATAACGCACCCACGCACAACATCACACACGGTAATCACACACGGTAAATATTTTTTACGGGTCAAAATATATCCAAAACATGGCCCTACGCTCCGATCCTGCAATAGGACGACAACATGAGACATCGCACACTCCCCCACACCCGGTGAAATTTTTATATAGCAGCCGAAACGTTAGATATCACCGGGGGTGTGGTATCTTGTGTCGTACTAGCACTCTAACTCGGCTCTTCTTGGTGATCTTCCACTGCAAAACGATGATAGATATCACGGGGGGGGGTGGTATCTTGTGTCGTACACTAGCACCCCAACTCGGCTCTTCTTGGTGATCTTCCACTGCAAAACGATGATAGCTATCACGGGGGGGGTGGTATCTTGTGTCGTATGCTCCCCCCTCACCTGCTCTAGCACCCTAACCCGGCTCTTTTTGGTGATCTTCCACTGCAAAAATGATGATAGATATCACGGGGTGTGTGGTATCTTGCGTCGTACACTAGCACCCCAACCTGGCTCTTCTTGGTGATCTTCCACTGCAAAACGATGATAGCTATCACGGGGGGGGGGTGGTATCTTGTGTCGTATGCTCCCCCCTCACCTGCTCTACCCCCCTAACCCGGCTCTTTTTGGTGATCTTCCCCTGCAAAAATGATGATAAATATC